CATGATATGATATCGCATATATCACAAAATGATTACGATAGAATATAATGTCATTGCTTGTTATTTCATATTGTATTTCAAATTACTTACATTGTGGATCCCGTCTTGTTCGGATTCGGCCATCCTGAAAACATATACAAATTAATTAAATATGAAATAATGCTATGTAATCTTTTTAGGTACAACGGAATTGGATTACAGACATTGATGTGACAGGGATTTACATATTCCAAAAATATATTTTTTGTCGTCATCCAAAGGCTTTGTAAGCACACAAATGGAATGTAATCAATCCGTCTTGCTAAGAGAAATTAATGTCCCACAGATGTTTCATTTCTGACCATGCAAGTGTTGTCTAAATACATATTATTTGCAAACGTCGTGGGGTCTCGTTAAGACTAAGAGATCTTTGTGTTCTCTACTGTCATCACGCCCATTCTTCCAATGGTCATGGTAAGTATAGTACGTAGAGCAGTTGACGCGATGGCAAAAGAGAATGGCACATTCTATCGTGACAGGGTCGACTACACCAATAGGATGGCAGCATTAGCGATATATAGTATATACATACATTCTATAAACGCTATAGAGTTTCATTTATAAACTGGGTCGTCATGATTTACCCAGAAGAACACTTGCAACTAGACTGGCCCAACTAAGAATTTTGTTGAATTGACATACCAATTTTGACCTAATTTTTGACAATTATGCTTATGCATAAGTTTGTATGTACGTCTGATATTTTGACCATCCATTTTGCAATACAATATATTGCCATTTTATGTGGAAAGTGGCCATTTGTTTTAATAAAATTTTAAAAATGATTCGATTTACCTGTAAACGACACTATTTGATGTATATGCGAATAAACAAAACATCTCTTTGTTCTAACAGTATACAACGCGAGCTTTAGAGACCCCCCATAACTCTTTCGGGTACCAGGAAAACTCTGTGTTTGATATTACTTTATATTATTAGTAAATTGTACGTTAACGATATAACTGGTCGCGGTGGGTTACTTTGTCCACTATGGTTGATGCGTGAAATCCCCTAAAACAAAATAAAAAAATCCTGATCGCAAATGTAAATTTTGTCCAACGTGGATACTGTGCTTACTGTAAAAGGATTAATTATTCACCGGGTTTTAATTTTGCTTAATTCGCTGACTGGAAAATGCGCTAAATTAAAACCCAGTGAAAATTAGTCATTTTACAGTATATTTATTTTTTGTTTCTTTTGTTCCATGGTTTGTAATGTAATATGATTTCAGTTTGATTATATAGTGCAATGAATATTTTTTACTAGGCTGTATTAGCACCCTGTGTGATACTTCCGAGGTTAAATAAAGTGATTCATGGACGAACGTAAAATGCGCCGATTGTCAATGGTTATATGAATGTTGATATGATCAATGCTGTCTTATGATGAAAACTTCTGTTTATACAATGTGTATACGTGTTATATGTGCTCGATTCTTTATTCATGCAGCGATTATTGGTGGTGACGCAATTCAAGAAAAACAGAAAAAGCGAGTTACGTCAACTTGGCCACCATTTCAGGATGCTGGCTTGCATACACCAGTGTATAATATAAAATATGCGAATATACCAAGGCTTGGTAGACGCGCTAAACAAAATACCCCTGCACATACATATAAATACAATTTGATAATTTTTGTTTGGACTGTTTTGCTGAATATGCTCATTTGTATCGCCTGTCTAGTTTAAAGTTAATTTAAAAAAAATGTTGTTCGGCTAATAAAACTTGTCTTTTACCTAATTCTTGACGTTCAGCTAGTATCATTTTATTTTTACCGTCTAGTCCCTAATATTTGCAACACGCTTTGAACGAGGTGGACACGAGTGACTGGTGACACAAATGAAATGAACGCACAGAAGCAAAGACTGAATTGAGAAAATTGTTTCTACTCTTTGCTATATCAGATGTCGGTTATGAAAAGACGCGTTTTATCGCTCATAGCTTTAAAACCATGTATAAAATGTGGTTCGCATTCGTTTTGTGCACGTGACCATAACGTTACCATTATTTAACAAGAACAAAATCTTCAACATATATAGCTACGGCCATTCTAGAACGCCCATTGACCAATAGCGCTATATATGTATCAGACAATATTTGGTAATCTTTGTCTCAAGTACTAGTAACTATTGAAAATTACTAGCATATAAATACATTTTAGTTTTTGTTTATTCATTTATTCGTCCGAACCAAATGTCTTCGTGAATAGTCAAGCCCATGATATGGTGAGTATTGACGTATTTGAAACACGCCCTATTTCAGTTTACTTCCAACTGGCAACGTTCACATTCCAATATATATGTTGATAATCGTATGCACACTAAGCAAACTGATTAGTGGAAACGGCCTAGTGTTGTTATCTTACAGAAAAGTAAATCGATTGTATTTTTTTATGGCATTACATGTTAATCTACGCATTTTCGTGATTATTTAGGTAATTGATTTCTTGATAGGAAACAGTTGTAAATACAAACACGGAAAGATTCATCAAAATCGATCAGTACATGTATCAGTACATGGCATTCAGTAACTGTTTATATCGCGTAGTTATTTGAGTTTCTATGAAAAAAACAACAACAACTTTTGTCACTCACCTCACTTGGAGCCGTAGCCACACTGCTTATAAAAAACAGAGATATTAATAATACTTTCCACATTCTAGATTGTTCCGATGGTGAACTGATTTGCGGTGGTTTCACTTCGAATGCTTGCTTTGTTTTAACGAGAGGAATCTAATTGTCAGATTTGTTACAGGCAGAGTGTCACCTGATTTGCTTGCCATTGGCTATTGAGTGTAATCTGTAACCTCGGGCTGTCGGAAGGGATTAGAGGTATGACGAAGTTATAGAGATTACAATATTTGTTTATTAATTATTTTACTTGAATGTTAAAAATATTGAGATTACCTACAAGAGTTTGGAATCATAATATGAACTTCACAGCACCATCATCCATGTTTGAATCCCGCATAAATGTACTTTTACAAAACCACAGACCACACTGTAAAATATTAAACAAACCTTCAGACAGTGAACCAACATTTAAACTATACAAATTTACTGCCACTCAGTTAAACACGATTACTGTTATAGTCAAGTGCTCTCGATGCCACATGCGTTCTAGGCGTGGTTACTATTTCCGTTTGATTTATCTTTAACGAGATCGATGACGCATATTAAAGTGCGATATGGGATGTGTTGTAAATATCTTAAGTGTCACGTGACTTACATCTGACGGGGATTCTGAATACTTTTCCAATGTTCCTATAAATTGGTTTGAAATTTCACGTTTGCAAACATAAATATTAACTCAAGATTTGTGAATGCCCACCAAACAAGCCGCCAGCATACGCATTAAATGATAAACTTATTAAACAGGTATAATCACTGGAGCAAATCTCCGCCAGGTGACGACATATTAAACCCACCGCCGATTAAAACGAATCGTTCACGAGGGCGGCATATGGAACAAGGACATTACAGTATGCAGTCGACAGTTAAAAATAATAATCTATTTGTGTTTTTGTCATATTTTGTCAAAGATGCATTCAGATTTTACATATCTCGTTATAATTACTAATACAAATGACATGCGATAGTATCTATGAATATCAGTCTTACTTTAACTAATAAGTATACATATCTATGGAAGAAAACATATATATATACATTTAATGCTATTGTTTAATACTCCATACAGTAGACTAAATCAGGTTATGATTTATCATAAATTAAAAATGTTGTGTTTGCGGAATATACAACAGTGTTTAACAATCAAAACCACTAATACGCAAGTGTAGTGATTGTAATTAGCCGTACCGAAACAGAAAACACACGTATTGATAATGTCATTACTTCATTTAACGAATACTCTGTGAAAAGCAACAGTTTTAGGTCACGATAAATTATGCAGTATCAATCAACAAATTACGTGTTCTTTTCTATTACCTTTTAAGATTCTGTGGCATAATTAGTGAGCGAGAAATCTTAAAAAAAATCCCATATTAGGTTAAGTTTAAGTTCAAGTTGATATTTTAATCACATGCTTTCACTTTCACACAAACACGATACATGATTTCGGCTACACTTTGTTAGCTGTATTTGATTGTTTTAAGCGGCATGTAATACTTAATATTAATATTAATATTAATAATTAATATTAATATTACTTGCGAAAGGGAAATATTTGCCTTCTAAGTTCAAACGCCGTGCAAATGTTCCTCTAGTGCTTGGACATAGACGCTCATATTCAATCAGTAATATATTTCTTGGAAGTATTTTCAATATGCAATAAACATTGTTAGTAGCGGCGTGTAGTTTTGTGACTAACCACAGTCACTCTACTAGAGTAGTAGTTTAACTAACGTTTAGTTGTTATTAAAATACTGTATAATACTAGAGTGACTGTGGACTAACGGAATATTGGAGGCATTAAAGAGGAGGCTATAATATAATATTATATTTATTTGCCATAAAAATAAAGTACTGAGTAAATATAATGGATTATAAATGATTGCTAATACTGTACAAACTAATATTAATGATAAACAAATGAGGAACATTGCAAAGTAAGTCGTGTGCATAACTGGGTCGTGGGAGTAGCAAAGGTAATGCTCGTATGGTATGCTTCTCACATTCTGACGAAGACATTGAATACATGAAGCATATACAACAATGTTTGTTTTCTGAAATTAATTGACCAAGGGGATAAACAAGTAGAATCAAGTGCGTACAGTATATTACCAATACCATGAAAAAAGTCACATGACTCAAACTGTCTGATTTGATTGAACAGTGTTTCGGAATAGCCGCATGGATTTAAAACCAATAAATTAAATACAATTAAAACTCCTTTACCGTGTGGTGAATAACTCTACTGTGGGTGGTTTGTGTCATGTGATAATGAGAGACCCAGCTGTTCTTATAACACGTCAGTATAGAAAGTATTTACAATACATTAATTATATTATTTCAAAACCAAACGCTATTTATGTAATTGACAATTTTAGAGCAAGCGTTTGTCGTGACATCATTTTTATGTTTGTAGATTTATACCACTGATGTGACCCATTGTCCTGGCCTTGTGTCTAACGTTTTAACTCCATATTTAGTCTTTAAATTTGTACATATGTAGATTTTGTAATCGCCGCATTTTATAAGCGTATTACTAACATCCACAGTTTTTCATATGTAGATTTTGTAATCGCCTCAGTGTTCTTATATGCATATTAGTAACAACAACAATTTGAGTTCGTACATATAGAAATTAGTAATTTGCATACTCGTTAGTGTCAATGTACTTCTGAAAAGTAGAATTAACATGCCCAGTCATAGATTGTTCAACAATAGTTTTATGAGGAAATTTACAAGTCCAAGAATATAAAACAATTGACGTTACAAGAACAAAACAAACATTGATAATGCATAGTCCCCGTTAAGTATTAGCTGTAGTCGTTGCAAATGTTTAGTACAAGTGCCACGTAAAAATGAAAGATCAGTGTTTGTTTAACACTAAATCAGATTATAGATTGTGTTACTGTCAGTATACATGTAGTACCTACGTGGAAACTTTGAACTGAATTGGACTATATCTTACAGAGGAAATAGCATGAAAGAAAATCGCAGCCAGTCGGGTATTGTTGTTCAAGTATCTCCAAAAGAAATATGGCTTGCACCGTAACCTAATATGTGAGGTCATCTTGCAAAGTTTGAAAATGCCCTATTCAACTTTGAACTGAATCGGGCAATATCGCCCTGTTCAGTTCCAATTGAAAACAATTCTGGACGTGTTACAGAATGATATTTTACGTTTTTTGACAAAATGGCCACCATTTCGACAAATTTGATCAAATCTCAATACAAAACATGGTGTTGTGTTATCTTGAAGTACCGAAAAAAAAACAAAATGGCCACCAGTCGGCCATCTTGGACCGAATTTCGAAAAAAAGTGACGTGCACCTAAAACCTAATATGCATGATCACCAGACAAAGTTTGATTGAAATCACCCTGTTCAGCTCCGAGAAACAGTTCCGGACACGTTACAGAGTGTGATTTTAAACAAAATGAATCAGGCCATATCTTATGGAGGAATAACAACAATATTTCCTCAAAAGATTACCCACTCACAGAAGGTTTAAGACTACCTATTCAGATTTATATTATACTATATATTTGTACTGGAAACTCAGTTTTACATGTTCTGGAGCGAGTTGATGAGGATGACAGTGTTGAGACAGAAAAGGAGGCGAATGACATTCCCACACCTCTTGTACCTGAAAGCTCAAAATAATCCTAATCACCTACTGCGCGTCTCTTGATTTAGCATGGTCAGCACTCCAATCACAACTTAAAGTCCAATAGCTGTACATTAAAATGACCCTATGTGCAGTCTGTTGTACACTCCTGTGTAACAGATGGGAAGCCGTGTACATGTAACACAGTGCAGAAAGAACTGGGAAGATATATAATAAGTATTTTGATAAGACTAGACTTTGAACATTCAAAGAGGATGATCGGTACTATTACAACTCCCCAAAGTGGCAGGGTTCGGTAACCAGAATCCACACAAGAAGTTACAAGTATGTTTTGGCGGCTTTATATTTTGGAACCTCTTGGTTAATCTGGAAATAATGTTACAAGCAGCATTTCCAAACTAATCACACTCACCACATCAAATGATAGTCCCAAACATTGATTAGGGTTGAATCTGGCAGTGGTGTACAAATATGTGTCTTATTGAGAAATAAACATGCTATTTGATGGAAGATCTGATCTCAAGAGGTCATTGCTGAAGGCTTTAAAACTAACTCTGCATCGACTCATACTGCATACTATTTGTCTCGGAAGTATCTGTGCATGATGTCAGTCTGACTCGCTTTTTAATAGTACATTTGGTTCAAGGCAGGGTTGTCACCTGCGCACGTTAGGGAATCGAGTCCCAAGCTACGATAACACGCGCTAAAAACGCAAAGGCTCATGGGTAGACACTTGTGTAGAAACAATGACACGCTATGGCCACCTGACGCATGCGCAGGGACGACTCTCCGCTTTAAAAAACGTCATCATAATTAATTAACACAAGTGTATACACAAGTATAGAGGGTTCGAATTGGGGTCACCTGTTAGAGGTATGAACTTGGAAATATTTGCTTTGAATTATTACGGACATATTTAATTGTAATTTGGCATTTTGATTTTGTAGAAGATTTACCTTTTTATATAAACATTTGAGCTTGCCAGAAACATAGGGCATTCTGTTTCAATTCCCGTCCTGGCATGATCACGAGGAGCATGACATTGATGGTGTACATGTGCACTAGTGATTTGATAGTCACAGTGTCACTTCAATCTTGTTTGAGCGGCGTGGAGCCTTTGGTGAATGTTCATGTAACTCCTAAAACACAACCCATCCAACACATTGTATTGGAATTGGATGCATTGGTCATATTAATTATACATTTGAAGTGTAGGTGTGAGAACCCTGGGATTGGGTTTTTAAAAAGTCGTCAGTAAAGAATAAATCTTGCAACTTGTTGCATCTTCTGCCTGACAACAAGATTAACAAAAAAAGTCTTCTTTGATCAAATGCAGCTTGCAAGAAGGTAGCTGGAGAGACACCAACACTGAAAATCAAAACCAAGATTAGGTGGACAAATATAGAGTGTGTCAGCCCCTTGATAAATGCCTTGACAGCATGGTGTTTACA